ACTGGAGATCTTTTGCCAAATTGGTATTGAACCATTTAAAATTACTTGATATCCAACTATTCTATTAAGTCAAAATCTATATAATTCCTCTACTTTATATCTCTCCATCTTTTCAAAAGGAACATATATATATATATATATATGTATATATATATACTTACATATGCATATGTATATACTTACATACATATATTGATATATACACTCATACAAATTATTGTATATCTACCCATGTGTTTATAGATCTGTAGATCCAGATAGATAGATAGATAGATAGATAGATAATGTTGAGTTCACATAAATTAATGACAATATTATCAGAAAGGCTCTCTCAGAAATCACATTGGAGGGAATTATAAAACCAAAAAGTCTATCATAGACATGATGAAGTTTTTTAATTACTTTTTTTATATTTATTTTCAACTCCAAATTCTCCCCCTCCTTCCACCCATTGAGAAGGCAAGAAATAACCATTATACATATGAACTCATGTTAAACATTTCCATGTTAGCCACATTGAGGGGAAAAAAACACAAGAAAAATAAAGAAAAATATGCTTCTGTCTGCACTCAGTGTCCATCAGTTCTTTCTCTTGAAGTGGATAGCATTTTTATGCTGAAGTTTTAATATATAAACACAATATTTGCCCTGATGCCTTAATCAAATAAGATCTCTTCTTTGATTGAATCACTGAATTTATCATTCAATCAAGAACATAGACAAAGAATTATATTTTTTCTCCCTATAATCCAAACAGAATTTGTGAATAATGCCTATATCAACTGGATACAATGTTAGGGTTTGGGCCGTTAGATGATGACCAATGAGGCCACACAGAGAATATTTCATGAGAGGGTATAACAACCTAATACACATGTTTTCAATTACCTATGGAAGTGGAAAGTTGTTTTAATGCTGTGTCAGAAGACTCTTAAGTTTGGAAATTCAGGAGTCTAGACTCAAAACAGTTTAAAATGGAAGGCTCTTGTACCTCTATCATAAGGCAAAGGTGGAAGAAGAGCAGTGAGTACAGAGGAAAATTATAATTCTCTTTAACTGATGATGTTATCAGAGAGCCTGAACCAGCAAAAGACAAACAAATCCAGCCAGGAAAACACATATCAAGGACAAACATTAAATAACTTTAGTTACATAGCGTGATGTCTTAAATCAGCAAGATGGCACAATGGATAGAGTACCAGGTCTGGAGTCAGGAAGACTCATCTTCCTGTATTCAAATCCACTCTCACAAACTTACTAGCTTTTTGATTCTGGGCAACTCATTTAACCCTGTTTGCCTCAGTTTCCTCATCTGTAAAATGAAGAATGAAATGGCAAACCACTCCAGTATCTTTGCCAAGATAACCACAAATGGGGTCAAGAAGAGGCAGATATGAGTGAAAAAGAACTGAACTAGAACTTAAATCATAAAAGTATGCCATCTACCAACCTACAAAAGTTCTTCCAGGTTAGGAATTGTGAGTCAACCCTATATCACATGTGTTCTCTACATATGTATCTCTACCATTGTATTCTAAATTTAAAACTCCTTCTCCCATGAACCCTTTCTATATTTATGGAAGAGAGTGACTCAGGATTCTAGGAAAGATGTTTGTGGCAAATGTCCTACTCTACCAACCAAATAAATGCCTTTGCTAAAATTTAATTCAGTCAAATGACTTATTATTAACCAATGGGAACTCAACTGTAACAATACTAGATGTGTAACTACCAAAGGTTATATACCTTGGGAGAGTAGTAGGAACCACCTTCTTGACACCCCACACATACTCTGTGAGTTTGAGTTAGTGGCCCCAAAAGGGGAACTACATATGCTCATCAGGTATATCATAAAAGTGAAGCTTATTCAGTTATGAATTTAACTAGGTAGCCTCTGTAGTCCCCTATTAAAGGAGAGATAGAATCAACTTATAGAAGTTTCGGAATGAAGATTTTTCTCTTGATCAAAGAACTTCTAATAATTAATGTCATCCAAAAATGGAATGGAATGTCTTATGAAATAGTGTGTTCTCTGTTACTGGAACTATCCAACAAGAGGTTGAATGAATTATGGGAATATTGTAAGAGAGATTCACAGAGCAGCTAGGTGGTACAGTGAATAGAGTACCGGTTCTGGAGTCAGGACTCAGTTCAAATCTGGCCTCAGACACGTATTAGTTGTGTGATCCTGGGCAAATCATTTAACCCTGACTGCCTCAAAAACAAACAAACCAAAAAAAAGGACAAAAACAAAAAACAATTCATGTAAAGAATAGATTAGATGGACTCTTAGATTCTTCCTACTTTATGATTTTGTGATTCTGAGAAAAATTGGTTCAGGCTCTCAAAGAACAGAAAATATACATTATCTCTCTAGAACACAGAATTAGAGAATTTAAGAGTTGGAATGGAAGGGACATCAGAATTAATCTAGTCTAATTGAGGCATGAAAGGAATGAATCCCTGTCACAGAAAGTATTTGTCCAGATTCTAATTGAAGATATCCCAGTGGTGCAGGCAGTCCACAGTACTTTTGGACAGTTCTATAGTTGTCAATAAGGTTTTTTTCCCCTTGACATCAAGCCTAAATTGTCCATTTTCCAATTTCTACCCATTACTTTGATTTCTTCTCCCTGGAGATTTAAGTTTATTATACCTGTCAAATGAATACATGCAAACAAAATTAATTTCTCATATATTTCCATATGTATCAAATGATGACATGTGTTTGTAAATAATTTCCTTCAGTGGCTTGCCATTACCTTCTCCAGCTTATTTTACAGATAAGGAAGCTAAGGCAAACAGGGTTAAATGACTTGCCCAGTGTTACACAACTAATAAATGTCTGAGACCAGATTTGAATTGAGGTCTTCCTAACTCTAGACCCAGCACTCTATCCACTGCACTACCTAGCTGCCCCAATAATTTCCTTTGGCACAAATTGTGTGTGTGTGTGTATATATACACATACATACATATATACATACATACATATATAATATATACATACACATATATATATACACACACATACATACATATATATACATACATACATATACATACATACATACATATATATACATATATATATATTTGGTACAAAATATATATATATATATATATATATATATATATATTTAACAAGGAGGAGAAGGATTTTATGTCCCATAATTCAGATCAAAAAAGTGAAATGTGATATTGAAAACACTTCTGGTGAATACTGAAATGAGTAAGAAAAATACCAGATCAAGGAAACTAGAGTCCATCTGTATGCTTTTGGAGAAGGAAATGGGAAAATATTACCATAAAAAAGTGCCTAAAGCCAGTAGACTTTTAAAAAAGTAATTCAGAAACTGAAAGGTGAAAACCTGAGGGTGGAAGGCAGGAGTCTAAAAATTAAAACTGAAAGGAGCCAACGTAAAAGCAACATCCACTCTAGCCTAGATCAACCGTGTGAAGGATGAGAGCCTGAAGGCAAGAAAGCATAGAGGCCCAAAGGTGAGTTTGAAAGGACAGCTTCAAGGCAAGAATCCTTCAGGCCCTAACAATAAGCTAGAATGCATAAAGTTTAAGGGCAGCATGCACTAAAGCAAGGAAATTGAAAAAGTAAGCAGATAACCAGGGGCTATGTGCATTTTTTATACTCTGATAATGAAGCTGGTTGGTTAAGGCCAGAATGTAGTGTGCATTCTAAATGAGCATAGTACAGCTTCCAAGGAGATGAGAAATCGAAACAAAAAAGGAGTAAATGGGAAAGGCAATAGGACAAGACTGAGTGATAAGGACAACATAACCTGAAATACTGGGGAGGCAGGCCAGTGTGCAAATCTAGCCAATCAGTACATATTAATGTCACTGACTGACTAGCCTGACAATTTGCATAATGTGAGTTATGTCAAATCAGAATAAGTTGTACTCTCGGTTAATTGATATCAACTCAAGAATGACTTTACAGAAGCACTTTCCTACTTAGAGGAATCAGAGAAAACTGCCAAATTTCAAGAGTTCTTAAACCTTAGAATGAAATATTATTCCATTATAATTTGTAGTATAGAATACAGGAAGATTTCAGATTATGATTCTTCCTTCTTGGGCCCAAGTGTCTTGAAGGTTAAAAGCAGAAAGATATTAAATGTAGAAAGCAGCTTAATGGATGTGTACTTTAAGCCAGAGCCCTGGAAAAAGACATTGTCTCAAAAATTATGTATTTACAGAACTAAATGAAAACCAGAAAGTACAGAAATGTCACCTTCTAAAAACAAAACACAATCAACACTTAGAGAGCCACAACACCAGTGGGAGGCAACAGTGGCTGGTAATAGGAAATAATGAGTACTGCAAAAATCATATTTATCTTTGGAAGGAATTATTGCTTTATATCAGATTTACTTTCTTAATTAAACCTTGTTTAAACTAATGGTAAAAAATTAGTTTGTCTTTGTTGAGCACATACCACTTGGAGAATAGGGGATGGTGTATATATTAGTCAGTAGGGGAAAGCAGTTTGGGAATCAAAGTTTTTCTCCAGTAAGCAACAAAGCAATTGAGTCTACCCATTTAATGTTTATCTTTGGTAAGGATTTTAACCTCCCAGTTCCCTCATTCTATGGAATCTGTCTTCTCTTTCACATCCTTTCTATTTCTAAGTCTTGTCATTATTTTTTTTTTCAACTTCCTTAATTCTCAATCAAATTAAAAAAAAAAAAACAACAAACAACCTCCAGTTAACCATACAGAACACTCTCCTGGGCCCTAATAGAGCTATTAAGATTAAACAAGACAAAGTTCCTGCCCTAATAGAAGGTAAAGTCTCCTTCAAAGAAAGGGAATACACACAGATAATCATGATACACAGTAATACATTATGACTGTGTGAGAATTCCAAGACTTTAAAGCAATTTTACAGGTGGAAATGAATGAGGAAATTCCACACCCAGGAAACTGATAGAGACAGGATGGAATGAAGGAAGAGTTCATAAGATGTATTCAAACTTGAAAACAGACCACTTTGTGACTGAAATATGGAGTAAAGGGAGGAAAATAATGTGAGGTAAGGCTGGAAAAATGGGATAAGGCTAGATGTAGAAGGCCTTAAATACTAGACTTAAAGTCTACTTGAAAGTCAGTAATCACTAAAGATTTTTCAGGATAGAAGATTCTAATATCCTTTCTAGCTTTAAATGCCGGACCTTATTTTAATTCCTGTACAACATTGTTGTGTGTTTCTTAGTCATGTCCAACTCTTCCTGACCCCTTTTGGAGTTTTCTTGGCACAAACATACTGTAGTGATTTGCCTCTTCCTTCTCCAGCTCATTTCACAGATGAGGAAACTGAGGCAAATAGGATTAAGTGATTTGTCCAAGGTAACATAGCTAATAAGCATCTAAGGCTGGATTTGAACTTAGGAAGATGAGAATTTCTGACTCAAGTCCTGCACTCTATCCACTGTGCCACCTATCTACCCTGTGCGACGTTACCAATCTTTAAATACAAATTAATCTGGAAGTGGTATGAAGGAGACTAATAGATATAGGTGGGGAGAGGAATGGCAGATAAGGGAACAGAGATAATTTTACAGCGGGCTTTAATTTTTTCACACACCTAGACTTATAGGATCATAGATCTAGAACAAGGAGGGACTCCAGAGATCATGTAGTCCCAACCCCTTATTTACAAATGAAAAAAACTAAGGTCAGGAGAGGTTAGTGATTTTCCCAAGGTCACACAGGTAAGTATCAGAGGTGGGATTTGAATTTATGTGATGGTACTCATTAATCAGTGGATCCATTTCCACTCTAGTGAAGAAACTGCTTAAAGTATGGGAGTCAGTAATATATAATGTAGAAAACTATGGCCTTGAGGCTATATGACTCTGGGCAAGTCACTTAAAGTATATCTGCCTCCATTTCCCCATCTATAAAATGGGGAAAATAGTAACACTCACCTTTCACAGTTGTGAGTATAAAATGGAGTAATATCTGTAAAGTGCTTTGCAAGCTTAAAGTTTACGTAAATTCTGTCATCATCATCACCATCATCAATCAAGTTGACTTTTCAGCCTTTTAACCTCTCCTTAATTTTTTATTTAACTGAAATCAGCCGTTAGTCCAATTAATCCTGTGGGTGATTTTGACATATCTTCATTGGTGTTGAGCCTGTTTTCCCTATTATGACACAAGCAACTCCACATCTGTGATTCCTTTGTAACTTCCCCTTGGAGTACTTAGCACAATGCTCTGAGCTCCATGTGTAGTCAATACCTGCTGTTGCCTATTGTAGTAGAATAAATTTGGAGAAGTAACCAGCCTTGTCTCAAGCAATAGAACTCCCCACGGTGATTTTGGGTGTGCTAAATGAAATCACCACAGGAAGGTTTATGAATGATACACTGAATATTCCGAATGAATGTCATACTTTCAGACGTAGCACCCTTGGCTGCAATCTTTATAGATCTCACAAATTAAACAAGATGAGGCTTAAAAATTCCAAAGGAAGAAAACCCTAGATGGCATTAATTAGTCAGTAATTTGTCTCTTTTCCTTTGAGACAGACCAAGCCAGTGCTCTTACAGGGATTAAGGGAAATTAAGGATAATTTATCAAATCAAGGACAAGAAATATTGTGATTATTAATGATTGTGGGGTATATCACAAATATACTAATCACTAATGTAACTCCTACCCACAGTATCTGAATTTGTACTACTTGGTGATTTGATATCCTGTTATCATATTTAACAATTCAGTTCAATCCCATTAATATTCATATTAATTATTATTATGTAATATATTATATTATTATTATGTATTATATAATATTAATATTAAAATAATACCATATGTAAGGCACTGAACTATTCACTAGGGAAAACAAAGATAGTACTTGCTTTGTTAGTCAATCAGTCAGTCAATCAACAAACATTTTTAAGGTGCTTTCTATATTTCAATAGCACTATGTTAAGTGCTAGGGATAAAAAGAAAGGCAAAAAAAAAAAAAACAAAGCCAAAACTAAACCCAGCCCTTTTCCCCAGGATATGTACTGTCTAATATGGGAGACACCATATAAATAATTAGATATTGACAAGATATACACAGAGGAGATAAATGTAATCTGAAAAGGGAAAACATTAGCTGCTAGATGGATGAGGAAGGCCACCTGAAAAAAAGTGGGATTTGAGCTGAGTGTTGAAGGAAGCCAGGGAAACTAAGAGGGGAAGGTGACAGGGCAGAACTTCTCAGTCTTGGAGACCACCAGGGCAAAGAAAAGGAAAGGTGTGTTTTAGAAATTGCAAATAGGCCATTATAGTTGGAAGGGGAGAGAAATAAGCATTTAGAACAGACTTGCACAACTTGGCAGTAGGTAGGGGCCAAAATTAAAGTTAGTGAAACTTCTTTGGCTGCAGACAGGTTTTTAACAGCTCGCTTTCCAAGTAAAGGTATAATTAATGATAAACTATTTTGCAAATAAACCATATTTTAAAAGAGGAAAAATTCAATTAATATCAATTAATTACTTATTACTTAAGATTTTTATTTGTCATGAAATCACTCCTCTCAGACTAGAGACAGACTGAAGATGGTTGGTTGCCATGGGTCATGTGACAATCAGGAGAGTGTGCACAGTAGCAGCCTGCCCACCAAATTACATGACAGGCACAATAGTGACTAGTGGTAGGCAGGTTAACTGGGGCATGGACATCCTCTACATTTTTTGTGGGCTGCCTGAAATCCTTTGGCAGATCACAAGCAGCCCACTGGCCATATGTTGTGTAGGCCTGATTTAGATAGTATCTATTACGACAAGGCACTGTGCTAAGCCCTATTTTTTTTTAACATAAATATTATCTCATTAGCAGGTTATGTATAGCATTAAATACCAAATGAAATTTTTATTTTATCCTGGTATAACAAGGAACTGAAAAGACCTGTGGTAAGTCACACCCTCGAAGGTGTCCCTCTGCCCACCTCCATAGAGAATCACCAGAGGCAGGCTAGAAGGCTCCAAAGCAAACAAACACAAACCGCCTCCTACTTTCAGTTTCCTCAGTCATTATCTATCTCCTACAGAACAAGTCCAGTTTCAGCTTGACCTGTGTAAAACAGGTTATAAGTTAATAGCTCCCATGGTAATCAGTGATCCAGCCACGATCCTGCAACCCCACTAACAGGTCCTTGTGACTCTTCAAACTATGAGAATTACTAATAAATACTGCAGCTTTTCCTACCACCTAGTTCCTTGTCTACGCTCCACTCTCGTGTGTTCTTGTATCCAAGTCCACCTTTATCAGAACCCCAAACTCCCCAGTCTGTTAAGGAAACCTTGCCTTAAGCAATCAATCCATGCCCAAGGCTGGAGCCTTATGAGCAGCCACACATTGCTCTCAGGACTTGTCTTAGAGAACATAGCAAGTAAGGTGTGGAGGGTACTACTCATGTCCCAACCACTGGGATACCATCCCTTTGCTCTAACCCCGAGTTAGTATGAAAGGTTCACCGTTCCACACCAGTTCTTCCACCTTCCTTACCCCTAACAACATAAGTAGCAAAGGAAATGACAATTAATATTAACCCCTGGAATTTATTGAGTAGGGGAAATGGCTTGGATCCTGAATTACATTTTCATATTGTCTCTAAAGTATTTATTTGGGAGTGGGGATGGTGATGGTAGAGAAAAGTATTCAAAAGAGCCTGAAGGAGCTTTCCTTCTACAAAGATGGTGTCATATCCTCTATCCTCATTCCAGTTTGGCCAGTTATTAACAGATCAGAAGGAAAAAAGTAAAGAAGGCTGGGGCCAATAAACAATTCTGGGGACAGTAACCAAGCTTGAATCCAGTTCATGCTCTTCCTGAAGTCAGAGAAGGACAAGAGATACAGGAACAAGGGGAGAGAACATCTTCGGAGGTAAGGATTAAAAGATTAATAGCAAGTAGGCTAGTGTACATAGGGCAAATTCCAAAAAGCACAATGAAAGTGAGATTATCAGGGTCTTGGTAGGAATCGGCCTCATACCTTTGCATCACTTCCATTTAGATCATTCCCTACCTACTCAACTGAGCTATAGTCTGATATGGATAAGTAATGTCAAACTAAATGACACACTGTATTCTCCTCTGTGTTTGAGATAAAAGTGGCAAAACCAAGATTTTTACCCTCCTTCCGGGTCTCATCTCATGATAGAAGAGAATACGATTATTGCCTAGAGGACAAAACAATAGCCATGTGGTGGTGGGGTGGGATGAATGTAGAGGGTTAGGGTGGGGTCGGATGGGGCAAGACAATTCTCCTTACCAAGATTATTACAATTTTCGTCTCCTGGAGTCATACCTTTGCTGAGAGCAGTTTGTCCTCTCAATCCTGTTATGTTCTCCAAGGATAACGTCAATGTAAGAGTAAGTAAAGAAGAGTGAGCAAGCATAAGAGTAAGCAAGTAAGCAAGTATAATGTCAACATAAGAGTAAGCAAGGAAAATCTATAACTCTTTAAAAAAAACCAGCTACCTATTCAGGCCTACAATAAATGACCTTCACTTTTTGTAAATAATTTCTATATTCCTTTAAAATTTTTTTGAAACTGTATTATGCTATTCCAGAACTGGATTTTTAACAACAAAACTGAATATAACTGGAATTTCATAGCACTTTAAAGGTTACCAAATTATTTAGGTATTATCTCATTTTATCCTTACAGGTTTGTGAGGCAGATACTACAACTATTATTATCCCCATTTTTCAGAAGAGGTATGTAAGGCTCAGAGAGCCTCGGCCAAAGTCACATAGTTTGTAAGTGGCAAAGTCAGGATTGCAATCCAGGTCCTTTGGAATTCAAATACTGTGCTATTTAAAACTGGCTGATTTTCTACATAACTTGGAGATTGGTGTGTTTCTATTAAGATGAAGAAGGTGGTTACTTTTATTTTTTTTATTTGAGTAGGAGGATAACATGCTTTTCTGTTTTAAAAAAGTTTCTTTTTAAATATTATGGCTTTAAAATCTTTTTTGTTACTATCATCATCATGATCAACCCTCATTAAAATTTTCACGGCATCTTACATGGAATTCTTGCCATTGTCTAATTTGTTTTACAGTTACTTCTGTATGTTTCTTGCCTCTTGTAGTATATTTTAATCTCTTTAAGGGCAGGGAATGTGTTAGATGCTACCTTTGTACCAGAACCACCCAGAAATTCCAGAAATTCTCATTTTATTCTCTTATAGACATTGATAATTTTTAAAAACATAAACAAAATGAACCTTAAAAAGAAAATAAACTCCTATGTTGTCATTACTTCTGACTCTGACAACCAGCATTCTCAACATACACCTTAATGGATATTTGTGAATTGAATCCAAATAATTTCATAAACACATTTCATTTGACTTTCAAATCATCTGTCCACTAAGAGGTAGTGTTACATAGAAGACACTGAGTAGGCCATAATGCCAAGAGCCTAGGATCAAGTTCCACCTTTGAAACATATGGGCTGTGTGATCTCCTCGGTGTTCTAACTTATAAAGAAGGTGCCACACTAAATTAACAAGTCCAATTCCTATGTGAGAGACAGAGAGAGAGAGACAGAGAGACTGAGAGAGACAGAGAAACAGAGACAGAGATGCAGACACAGTCACAGAGACAGAGAGGCAGATGATAGAGATGTATTAATTATGTAGGTATTTATACATATATTTGTATGTATAGTACACATGCTCACATACACACATATAAATTCTCCTCATATTTTCTATTTCTGTTTTTTTTCCTCCTGAAGTGTCACTCGATACACCTTATTGGAGAGAGTTGCCTATCTTGTTTGACAGTAATTCTCTATACCCAAGAATTATGGAAGTAATCACATATTGTAAGAATGTGTCTCTACTAGCTCCACTGCCGTAGTTCTTGGATTTCCAATTTACGAGTTTTAAATTAATGACTATTTACTCTGCTGCATAACAACAAAAAAATAGTCATTCTAGAATCTAATTCAGTGTATGGTACTTTTGCTATCTCTTACGTTCACCATTTTTTTTTCCATTTACAGGGAACAAATAAACAATATAATCAACAAGATTTTTTTTTCTCTTGAAAGGCATGTGGAGAATGCTGATTGTTAGAGTCATGTATTGGGGTAAAAATATGGGCATTTAATTTCTTTTAAGATTATGTTTTCAGTTTTTTATGCTTAGTATTTCAGAAAGAACAAATGGGACATTCTTAAAAAGGAAAGATGGGGAATTTGGTTGCTTTAGGGAATAAATGCATGAGTTAAGAGAAAATATTCTACATCATGTTCTTTGGTGAATATCACTCATGTTCTCCATGTCTTCCACTTCTCCCTTAGAAGACATATTGTAAAGTGACAGTTCATATAATTTTTCTGGACACAATGAGGAATAGATAATTTTCATACATTAAAAATTTCTTGGAGATCGATAATTAATGAGTAATAGGGATTATGGCTCATGAAACAACATATTTCCAATTTAACATATACTGTATGTGATGCAAGTTGAATTTGTACTATGGCATGAAGTGGAAAGCAACATGGGATAATGGGAAAAGTCAGGAGCCCTGGATTCTAGTCCTATCTGAAGAATGAGAGTTTGGTTGCAGTGACCTCTTCTATTACCCCAATATTTTTTTTTTTTAGGCAATTGGGGTTAAATGACTTGCCCAGGGTCACACAGCTAGTAAGTGTCAAGTGTTTGTTCTGAGGCCTGATTTGAACTCAGGTCCCCCTGACTTCAGGGCCGGTGCTCTATCTATTGTGCCACCTAGCTGCCCCATTATTACCCCAATTTTTGACTCTAACTCAGTTATCCAAGGAATCAGGTAAATTCATCTTTATTATTGAGCAGAAGAATCTCAGTGCCTCAGCCCCTTGAGAGGAGGGTTAAGAAATTCTTTGAAATATTTTAACTCCTTTGGGCCATTTGGATAATGTTTGGTAGCATGAAAGCATAATAACTTAAGGACATAGAAGTACTTTAAAGGAAAATTTTGTTTCTTGCAGATAGTAGTCACCCAATAGATATTTTTGATGATAGAAATTAAATAATAAGATGTATGTGAATGTAAGGGAGAATGCGATCATTAAAAGCACTGTGCTGTTTCTCAGTGTTACCTGCTCTATCTCTTACTTAACTTTGGGGCTAGATCACTCACTGTCCATCTGAAAGATTTATTTAAAATATATACTGTTTGACATATTCAATGAGCTCTTGGTCAGGCTGGATGCCTTATTCTAGAAAGTATGCATTTTTCATTCCCCCCTTTTATTTTGTATTGGAGATGGCTACAACAATCTGGAAAATTATACATTTTACTTGAAACACAGAGTGGGCGCGATATACAAAGAGGCAAATTTAGACTTGATGTTCAGAAAAAAAAATAAAAACCAACAGATTTCTAACAATCAGAGCTATACAAAAGTGGAATTAATTGCCTTGGGAAGTAGTGACTGGGTTCTTCCTCAATGGAGGCCTTCAAGTAGAGGCTGGATGACCACTTATCAGATCTGTTTTATTGGCATTTTATTTTTATACTGAGGCACAATGGTACTGTGCACAAAGTACTGAAACTGGAGTCAAGACCTGGCATACATTCAAATAATATTCCTGAGAGGTTTGATGCAATTTATATGATACCATATTCAAAAAGATACATTTCAAGAACTTTACCTCAATCAGGAATCTATCTCTCAATTCAACTACATAGAAGACATCTTTCACAATAATGGTGAACATTTTAGGGGAGCTTAAGTCTATTTTATGCCTTATTTGATGTTAATACTCTGAGAGTCACTGAAGAAATTTACCTAAATAGTCATACCTGTCATCAAATCTTGTAATATTTTACCATGTGTGAGAGACAACTTATTTGAGGATAGCCTTTAAAACTGTTTTTGTTCTGTTGATTGAAATAATTAATCAACAATGACGAACAATAGACACAGTGGGATTTTGCTTTCTCTACACTCCTCAAACAGCTTCATGATTGTAAAGGTGGATTCTCCTAACAGAATACCATCTGCAGAAGCCTTTTTATTTCTGCTCTTGGTTTCATCAGTGAAAACCTGGATATGTGCACAGACTGTTCTCATAAAGATTTTATAGAGATGAACAAGGAGGTATGTGGGTCAGCTGATGATGTCTTCTCATTGCCTTTTTTGAGGGGATAAAAAACAGCATCTGTGATCTGTTCAGTTCTTTTGGGAAAAGCCTACTCTACAATTCTGAAAAGGACTCACATTTTAGAGACCCTGAAAATTCACTTGAAAAGCAAAATGTTATTATGGCATGTGATTCACATGCATATGGGCCTGAATATTTTTGCTATACTTATATCATAAATTCAGCATCACAAGAAAGTGTTGTGTTTTGTGGACTTCAGTTTCATTTGGCTCTGACTCCTGAGTACTTAGTATGTCTGTGACACATATTATTGGATTATGCTTGCAGAACCACATTAAAGAAGGGGGGTGCTGATGGAGGGGGTATGTGAAGAAGAAAGTTGAGTTAGCAGCAGCAACAGAAGTTTCAAACAATTATAACACATTTCATCGAACTGGCAGACTTTCCAGGAAATTGAAATAGTCTTTTAGGCCATGTTTGCACAGCCAAAGCAGAGGGGGGAAAGTAGAACGATAAGCAATTTCGAGTGAATTTCAGCAGACTAGAGACTTTCTGTATAGATGTGACCTAAGGGTATAACTAATGTTACAGAGCATAGTTAAGAAGGAATTTTTCCCCCATTTGATCAAATCCTATTGAAAGCTTGTTGTTTTTGTTTTTCCTTCTTCAAGACAAGAGCATTAAAAGATACATTAGGAACTAACATTGCTAGTTACTTTTTAAAGAGGGCTATATGTTTTCAAAAGAATTGGGAAGCAATTTTTAGTGAAAAATGTATTTATTTTGCATACATTTATGTATGTACACATTACCTCACTTGTTATAATATGTTCTTTGATAGAAGAGGCTTATTTCAGTCTCCAGCTTCCAGCATAGGATCTGGTCTATGGTAGAATTAGTTCAAATTTCACATTCTGTTTGTAGCTTTTAATGGTTCCTTCAACTGCAGATGTTGTTCCTTATGAGATTACTTTGTATCTAGATAGATGGACTATGTAATTAACATAAGATAACTAGTTTAAATGTGGAGACTCTCATCCTTAGGATGCTAGTCATCAAAAGATGAATTTTTAGGGATTAGAGTGTGGATCAGTAGAGGGCTTACACTGTTGAAATTACATCTCTGAAAATACTCGAGAATGAGAAACTTCACCATGATAAAATACTATAACCTCTTGTTTCAAAGTAGTATTTACTTGATAAAAGAAAATAAAACTAGAATCCAGAAGGGAAAATTCCAGTCTTTAAAAAAAAGATTTGAAATTTATATCTAATGCTTAAATTTATTTGAATGTCTGAATTTTAACCAGGACACAATGTCTCTCTTCATCTTTGCATTAAGCTTTTGCAGCTTTGCCCTAGCTTGTAGTAGAAAGTAAACCTATTTAGGACAGGTTGCTTTTAAAGCTGCCCCATTGATTTAGTGCTTTGGGTCACCTTCAATTTAATCTGTAAACTGACATCAACAGTTTGATTTACTATCGTTTTAAGACTAGGTTTGTGAATGGACTGTGAAGCCCTCTGGGCAAAATTCAAGTGCAAAAGAGGGTTAGTCTAAAAATGTCTACTAAGGGTACATGATTTTATTATGTTCCTGAATTATAGATATATCAGCTTATTCGGTCTCATTCACAAACCTCTTTTGGA